CGGGGGTAGTGCTGCTGCCGCGTGGGCTGAAGCTTACCTGCTCAGTGCCTCAGAGCCCTGGCTGGTCTGTGGATGGGAGAGCTTCGAGGACTCGTGGGGCAGCAAGTGTCGCTGGCTGCTGCTTCTGGAAGCCCCGGGCACTGCTGTCTGGCACCTTCTTCTCACCTTCTCCACGTGCTCCACAGACAAGCCCTGGTGGTTCCGTGCTGGGCGAGCTGCTGGTTGGCGAGGAGGCACAGTTCCTGCTGTAGGACCACAGCTCAGACACTCACGCCCCTCCCCCTCCCCAGTCATGTCGGAATTGCCCCACAGCATTGGCTGGTGCCCTCTGCCCTCAGGGCCCCCGCTCCCACATGACAGCATCAGGGGTCCTCTGCGGGCCAGCCCCATCTCAAACTGCTGACCTTGTGGCTAGTAGCCCAACGTGTAACCACTCCACCACCGGGGCCCCTCAGTGCCTGGCTAGTCCTGCCCATTCTCACCGCACTGGGTGCTGGAGAAGCTCACGGGTGGCAGCGGGGCTGCAGCCCCTCAGGCTGGGGAAGCTTAGAAACTCTCTCACTCCCAGCCCTCACCTGGTCACCACACAGTGGTGACGGAAGGGCAGAGAGGGACGTTTCAGACAGCTCCAGGGAGGTCAGCAAGGGGCCAGTGGGACCCACCCCCCTTCCGGCCCCACTTTCAGCTTCAAGCCATACTCTCTGCTCCCAAGGGCCTTGCCCAGCCTGCCTGCCTAGCCCTTGGGACTCTGTCCCCACAGCCCGGGCTCCCACGCCTGGCACCACCTAGCCTCTAGCTCCTGGTTTCCACCTCCAGTGCCCAGAGGTGCCCACCTGCCTCCGGCTTGCCCTGCTCCTGAGGGTCGGGAGTCTCTCTGGGCAGTGAGGCTAGGGGGCACAGCTTTGTAAAGCTGCTAGTGTGGGGGGCGGACCCCACTAACTAGAGTCCCCCAACAAGCTGTCCTGGCCATGCTGCTGGGTCCACAGTTCGGGGCGAGGCGGCTGGAGGTAGTTAGACGGGCGTCACCTCCGGCCTCCCTTGCTTCCCTGCGGCTGGTGTCTCGTTCCGTAAACACGAATGCCCGTCTGTCGGAAACTGTGTCAGACCTGCCATGGAGAAATCACTGCAGGGCCAGGAGGGCAGGCTCTGCCAGCAAGGGCGGGGGCAACGAGCTGGACATCGGGCCCTGCCCAGTCCCCCTGCCCATCCCTCTGTCCTCAGGGGCCCTCTGGGGATGTTGCCCGGGTTTCCCAGGTGAGGTCTGAGCCGGCCTGGAAGGCCTGCGGCTGCTGCCCCAAGGCCGGAGCATGCTAGCTCAGCCTGACAGCCAGCCCCTTGCCTGGCCGGGTCGCGTGGGTGGGCGTCAGCCTGGCCCTGACCATGCAGGGGGGCAGTGCTGCTCTGGAAAGTTCTAGTCTGAACTCAGGCCCTGGCTCATGCACAGCCAGGTGTTGGCCTTGGTCCCTCCCTTGAGGCCTTGTGGGCATTTAAGGAGCCTGGGGGACTCATTCGCCCTGGTGACCGACCAGCCTGGCCTCACTCTGGCTCAGTGACAGTGTGGTCCCACCCCCTGGGGGGCACCGCCACACCAGGCAGGCTTCTGATGGTTCAGGGACAGCTGCACGTTCTCCAGCCCCGTCCTCAGTGGCCAGCCCTGCTCCCTGCCCCCCCCCTGCTCCCCGCCAGCTGCTATTCCCATCATCCCAGCAGCCGGGCTGCCCAGTTGAATCTCAGCTCCGGGACACTGCTGGCAGCTCAGCACTGGCCCTCCACTCTGCCGCGGGCCGGCCGGGCGTGGGAGGCAGGCTCTGGCCTCCTGCTGTCTGGCCAGCCTCCCCGTCCTCGTCTGCACACTGGGGAGGCAACAACGCCTCCCTGAAATGGGGGCCATAATGGGGTGAGGAGCTTCCCACCTCACGAGTGCGGCCTGTGGGCGGTGGGCGGGGGGGGGGCCCGCCTCCATCTCCCTTTGTTCTGGGAAGTGGTCCGTGGCAGCCCACCTGCCTCCGCCTGGCCCAGGCCGCCTCTTGATGTCCTCTTGGCACCCCAAGCCCCGGAGGGCCCCTCCCCTCCTGCCATCGGACCTCTGCACTGCCTGCTGGCCCTGTACCACCCGCCCTGTTCCTGCTGCACCTGGGCACAGGCCCAGCCACCTCATCTCATCTGCCCGTGCTGGCCTCTCACTCTGCCCCCTACTGGCAGGGGGCTAGAGGCTCTCTGCTCCCCATGTCTGGCTACCATAGAGCCCTCCCCACTGCCATCCGAGGTGCCGGGGTTACTACAATCCCTGATTCCCTGGGAGCTGGCCTGGACCTCACCCTCTGGCTCTACCCCCAGGTCACACTGGCCGCCTCCTCCGGGCCCTGCTGTGCACCAGCCTCCTCTTCCTGGCTGCCCACCTGGCCTTCCAGATCTGCCTGCACACGGTGCCTGGCCTGGACGAGCAGCTGGGTCCTGGCTGTGAGTGGGGCAGGGGGCCAGGCTCCTTGAGCTGGTCCAGGGGCTGGGAGGTGGGGTGGTGGCTTCCTACTTCCTGAAGGTGTCTCCCGGTGCCCCTCCCAGGCCTCGCCACTCAGTCACCTTCCTCATGGCTCTGCCTAATACAGCCACCCTGGCTCCTGTGCAGGGCTTCAGGCCCGTAACCTAAGTGCCCCCAGTACCAGCCTGGCCCAGGGCTCTTCCCAGACCTCCTCCTTGTTGGCACCCTGCTTTGGCTCCCTGGTTGCTGGAGCCATGGCCGGTCTGCCCCCTGGCTATGCCCATGCCCCTACCTTACCCCTCACGCACTTGGGGGTGGCACCCCTCCCCTGTGGGCTTTGCGATTGGCCCCAGCTTGTAAGTTCCCCTGGGGTGGGGTCCTTCATGGATGGTTCAGAGGACAAGTGCCCCCCTCCTGCTGGCCCAGGACCTGTGGCAGAGGCTGGACGGGGCTCGTGGCACCAGCAGCGGCTCGGGTGGTGGCTGCCATCACTCCCCTGACCTCTGTGCCCCTCTGCAGGCAGCCGCTGGGAGACCATCTCCCGACATGTCGGGGTGACGAGGTATGAGCCCCCTCACAAGCCCTCACAAGCCCCTCTGGGCCCAGAGCAGGGGTGGGGAGGGAAGGAACCAGCGACCTTCCACTGACGGCTGTCCCTCCACAGGCTGGACCTGAAGGACATTCCCAATGCCGTGCGTCTGGTGGCCCCTGACCTGGGCATCCTGATGGCCTCCTCTGTCTGCCTTGGCCTCTGTGGGCGGCTCTCCCGGAAAGCCCAGCGGACACCACCTACCCAGGAGCTGGTGAGGGCTGGGGCAGGCACTGTGGGCACGATGACACTATGTCCTGTCCCCATAACATGTGCCTCACCGTAGCAGGGACATTGCCCTGACAGACGCTGCCCTCCGGAGATCGGGGGTCACCTCCTCAGAGGGCCCCCCTGGAGGCCTGCCAGAAATGAGGCCTCCCTCCCTTTGGGGCTTGTGTCCTGCGCTCTGCTCAGAGAACCCCCTGTTGGTGTGGCAGAGGCTCAGCCCCCAAGAATGGAGGCCCAAGTCAGAGGTTCTGTCCTGGGTGGTGAAGAGGGAGCCAGCCCGGGGCAGTCTACTGGCCCCCAGGCTGCGGACAGCCCCAGAGGTTGTCCTGGCAGCCCTGGCTGACAACTGGCTTGTCACCCCTGGCCCTGCCCAGACCCCCCCGGCCCCACCCAGGCCCTCCAGCCCTGCCCAGCCCCACCCCCACCCTAGGCCCTCCTCCTCTGCCTGGTCCCGGCTTATAAGGCCTGGTCCTGAGCACCCAGGCACAATTTATGACTGTCCAGGTGTTTAGTACTAGGGCCCCTGCCAGGGACACTCTACCCCATAGCGTACTGTTCACCCTGAGTCCCCAGCCCTGCCCATGTGTCCAGCAGGGACCTCAGGCCCAGGGAGCTGGCCTGGCGTCTAGGCGCCACTGCCCTGCCCGTCTGTGCTCACATTGCAGGGGCGTAGAGGCCAGGGGCCCTTTCCTGGGACTCATGGGCTGGAACCAAGGCAGGAATCACCCCAAAGGACCTTGGGCGGAGCCGGCCAGCCTCTCCAGAGTCCCATTAGCTGGTCTTCCTGGAAGTGTGCTGCCGGGAAGGGATTGGATGTCCCTCCACCTACAGCCCTCAGGAAGGGGGGTGGGACGCCATTTACCCTGGGGCCTGGCCACCCTGTCTGGAAGAGCCTTCAGTCAGGCACTGCTGAGGCCCTGGGGGGCCAGCTTCCCGCAGAGCCCAGGGCCCTCGGTGGTGAACATGAGCTGCCCAGGTGGGTGTGGACAGATGTCACGCATGGCATTTGAAGTCTAGACAAGAGGTGGTGGCCATCCAGCATGGCTTCCACGACCACAGGGATGCAGCCATCAAACCTAGTGACCTCCCCGACCATCGTACGCACCTGACTCCCAGCACTTGGCCGTTGTCCACACCTGGTGCACACACACTGTCATTGTCCACATCTAACATGCATGCACACATTGTCCACATCTAACATGCACACAGCCCTGGGTC